GCTGTTGCTGTTGCTGCTGCTGTCGTTGTTGCCGTTGCTGTTGCTGTTGCTGTGGCTGTTGTTGTCGTTGTTGTTGTGGCGTTTGCTAGTTTGTATAGATGGATATATGTCCTGCTATTGCTTCCTAAGCCTAGTCCCGCCCTAACCATGACATGACTGAAACATGCTAGAACCCACCCCTAGGGCCAAACGTAGTTGACCAACTCCCAGGAACCAGAAAGAGGAACGGTCGGAGCGACATCACAAAAAAGGCAGGGAAGCAAAGGTGGAGAAGTCCACTGGGATGATCACGAAGCTCCGGCAACATTTAACTGCTTCTTTCGGGTTGAGAACCCCTTGGCCCTCTCTCTAAACCCAAACCCGCCCTTGGAGCTTCAGGCTTTTCAGTGTCAAGGTTAAAGGACCACAGGTTCCGAGCCGCGGAGGTCATGTGACAACAACTGTCTCAGCTCTGGCTGAAGCTCCTGCATAGGCAGAAGTGCTGTGCTCTCAATCAAGTCAAACAGAAGGAGCCAACTAAACACAACAGAAGCCTGCTTCCCATGAGCCTGCGGTGCCCAATCAACTCCCGGACCTACCGCCACATGTCTCGAGTGGTTTCGTTCTGAGACATCCGGTTGCCTTCTATCGGTCTCTTGAGCTCTCCTTACCAAGGTTTCTGTAGACGCTTAAATAACTACCAATGCTATTTCGAGGTTCCATATTTTAGTTATAGCAGAATATCACCTGTAGAAAGGTGGGAAACTCGTGGTTGGGGCATACACTTCTGAACACAGGGGCCAGCTGAAGCTAGCAGGCAAAGCTGATTTTGCGTGTGCGGTAGTTGCGTGCGCGCTGGCCCCAGCTACCTTCACCCACACTTCCCATGAGGAAGCTCATGGTGGCTGCGATGGGCATCTGCAACCAACTGGATCTTTGGCTGAATCTGGCAACGTACATACCCCCAACTGCCTCTGCAATCCCTAGAAACCTTTAGCCCGAAAACCGGCATCGACGAGGTCGGCAGCTTTCTAGAAGACGGTTGTTGGCTCGCATTAAACAGGCCATTGTCGTGATGAAGGCCGCAAAGGAAATCCACCAGAAGGCCGATGAAGCGGGAAGGATGGCATATACGTTTAGAAGATACGGCACCCTAATAACAAATTCCCGGAATAGTAGGATTCTTACAAAGGTTCTCCCAAAACGGCCGCAAATATCTTATGCCTGTTGGGCAACCAGAGATCGTCTCGAGGTCGGGGTGTACTAGCTGAGAATGGGCAGAAGGACGACCTCAATTCCACGAACTTCAACAACTAATCAGCGCCCCAACGAAAGAGAGCGATGTGCGGCATGCGCTTCAGCAGACTTGCTCGACGGCTGTCAGGCTGAGATGAAAGAAGATCTAATGGTGTTTTGCTGTGCCTGATGCGAGCTGTGCTTGAAGACGAGCCCAGAAGCCAGTCAACTCCTAGTGTTATCAAGGTTATGAAAGAAGGCACGTCCTGCCCCAATGTTAGGATTGTTGTAGCCTTGCTGTGAACTACCAATCGTGCACGTGGTCTGGCAGGTGAACTGGGAGGTCAACACGCGGCGCATCACTAGCAAGGAGTACAGACTTGATGAGGCGCACTGCAGCATTTCAGGTTCTAGGTTCTAGAGTCTTCTAATCGGGCTACAGAACGGAGACCCATGATGCGGCCTGCGATATCGACCCATCGACTGACAGAAATATCCAGATTCCGCGAAAGCTCCGCATCCAGGGTGCAGTTGTGCGTCGAAGAGAACGCCATGGGTCGGGAATGGACTCCGTGCACAAGTCCTCTGCATCACGCAGGCCGGAGATTGAGCCTCCTTGCTTGAAAGTAACATGTCATCATGTCAGCTGCTACTGGTATTATGATTGCTATCATTTCTTGTTGATTATCGGGTTGGGCTTTTTGTGCTGCACGGGAGCGGCTCGATCTCGGCAGAAACCACTCCTTTTGATCCATTCCGCACTCATGGCGCGCCGCACCCGAAGCGTGGCCATCTTGGCCCTCGTGGCATGCGCGTTGGCGTGGTCTTCGAGCTTCGTGCTGCCAGGCCAAGGCCAAGGCAGCAGTCAGGGCCGACGTGAGGCCTTGCTTGGCCTGGCTGGTGCTGTTGGTGTTGGGTTGGCTTCAGAGCCGGCAGAAGCATTCGAGGGAGCAGGCCAATGGATGGGCTACTATGCTGACCCTCAGCACCCAATGTGCCCGCGAAAGATCGTCTACGAGTATGACCTCTACGAGAAGGCACAGATGATGGTGGACGGAGGCGACGGCAACCCGGGGTGCGAGAAGAAGGTGCTCACCAGGTGGACGGCCAAGGTCGACTGGAAGGCAGGCTCAGATGAGATTACCATCGACTTCAGTAAGAAGGGCGGGCCCAGTGGTGTGGTTGGAAAGTGGGACACGGACGGGATTGTCTTCCCTGATGGCAACAAGTGGAAGAAGATCATCTCATACAACACTGGCAGTGGCCAGGGGATCTGAGCCTTTAGATCTTTTGACTTCAAAGAAGCCAAAGACAACAGCCGAGAAGTAGTCTCTCGTTTTTTAGTGCCATATGGATGTAGGCTTGTTCAGTTTAGGATTGCGCAGAGTCGGACAAAAACGTGCTGCAGAGCAGTGGCAGCACATGAGTCCATCATGGACAGGGCACGCTTTTCTTAAGACAATTGGTCCTACTTACAGGTCTCTCTGCCACGCATGCGTTATTCAAATTTTGAGGCTTCCACACTCCAACAGCACTCACCATCATAGCAACCGTCACTTGAATGTCTGATCTTACTACATTCGACCAGCACAGGTTTTGCAGGCCACTTCTGGGCCTCAGAGGATTGTCTGCACCGGTATATCTAAGCCTATGCCATCGTCTGGATCCTTTCGTAAGATTAACAGGGCCCTGTACAAGCATCCCTTCCTACTTCCTACGGAGCCTGTAAATTCTGAATCCCCATAGGAGGGACCGTTAGAAAATAGCCCTGCATAAAGTGGGACTCTTTAGAGGAGAATCTGCAACCCGAAGAAGAAGCAGACTAAACCGTCAGGTGTTAAGCTTTCACAAAAATACGGAAACTCTACGAAATCCCAATGTGACTCTCTTTTCTAGAAAAAGAAACCCCAAAAAGGGACCCCTGGCCCCTGATACCTTAATACTACTTGATGTGATTTGATTTGATTTTTTAGGCATGCCTAAACAATCAAATCAAATCAGGCAATATGCTAAGACCCCGCATTTCTGGATAGGTCGGCGGCCCCAAGCGCAGGGCAGCAACGAGGTCAAGGTCGACGAGGATCCATCTCGCAGAGCTCCATGAGTGGTTTAGGGTTTATAGGGTTTTATGGTTTAAGGTTGCGTTTACTCAGTTTTCATTCGTGGTTCGGAGTACAATAATTCCTCACATCTGGGCTGTCCAACTGCATAGCTTGTCATGAGTACATGTTGTGCGGGGTTGTGCAGTCATGAGTGCTGCACTGCTTCACGGCGACGGCAGTTCCGGGCGAGAGAAGCCTGCTGCAAAAGGTTTAGGGTTTATAGGGTTTAGGGTTTTAAGGAGTTTCGGGTTTAAGGTTTAGGGTTTATAGGGTTTAGGGTTTAGGGTTTAAGGTTTAGGGTTTATAGGTTTAGGGTTTAGGGTTTAGGGTTTAGGGTTTAGGGTTTAGGGTCGGCGAGGATCCGTCTCGGGGAGCTCCATGAGTCCCAGCCACCGAGACACTTGGACTGGGCTTAGCTTAGGGCTTAAGGTTGAAATGAAGAATTTAGAGTACCCTAAACCCTAAACCCTAAACCGTACGGCCGCACGGGTTCCTTTAAAGGGCTCCTTAAAAGGGATTACTATAGGGGTTTGGGGCTTAGGGGCCTTGGGACACTGGCCGGCCGAGCTCCAATCAAGCCTGTGTAAAAAGGGGCCTTAATAATTAGAATAGGTGAATAGGGTTTTGGGGCCCATTCTACTACAATTCTAACAAGGATCCCCGCCAAATAGTATTGGTAATTATTTGGGCCCCTACATTAGCTAAGGGTTAAGGTCCAGGGGCTTTTTCCGGGGCGTTAAGGGTAAGGGTTTATACGTGTTTCTTGACAAGGATCGCTTTCTGTACGGGTTTCAAGGTTGCTCGTTAGCGGTTTGTTTCTAGAATGGTCTAAGAGGGTTTAGGGTTTAGGGTTTTCTTCGAAGGGTTTAAAAGGGTTGGATACGGGGTTAATACGTAACGGGTCAGGCTTTCTGAGGTTTAGGGTTTAGGATTGGAGCTGTTTGCGAAAGGGGTTTGTGGGGGGTATGTTTTATGTAGTCGGACGTAGTTGCGTCTAGAAAGCCTTGGCTTTTAGCCATTGGCGTGTTTTAGGAATTTGGTTCATGATACATGTCTTCTCAGGCCTCAAAGGGCGTCAAGGGCCTTTAGAAAGGCTAACTTTATTGTTGTCTTGCAGTCGAATAGGGGGGTCTACATAATTCTGTACTTCTGTACCTTAAACTTTCCTACATAAGTGTACCATAGCAAGCCCATTCTGGCTTTTGCAACATTAAGCCCCAAGGGTTTGGGTTCGGGGTTCGGGGTGGGTCCCAGGGTCCGCAACTTTGGGTCTGTTTCCTGATCAACCTGGGACTTCTGTATCCCAAGTTGCAAAAAGTAAACCCTGAAACAGCTAAACCCCGCAAGCTGCCGTCAATGACCCTAAACCCTATATCCCTAAACCTCTAAACCAAAAGCCAAGCTTTTGTCAGAGGCGCCCTCCGTGGCTGGCAGATCGCAAGGCAGCCGTCGCTCCAAAAAAGGGGAAGAGATGACCGAGGAAGGGATGGAAAGTTTAGGGTTTAGGGATGCGTCTTGTTGGATTCGGGTTGTGAGAGTAGAAGTTTTACTGTTTAGGATTTGGGGTTTAGATGTGTTTTGCTTGAATCAGCCTGTAACGTCGCAGGGTGCTATTCGGTGTAGCAAGGAGGATGGGAGTACTGTTAGTGTTTCCTCTGGTCCCTGAACAATTGGGAAAGAAACCGTTGACAACCCCTCATTCATGGCCCTTGATAATAATTCTGCTATAATATACGCTTAGACCCTGTTCTGCTTATTAATTAAGGCCCCACCGAGATAGTCTCGGTGTCAGGGCATTTTTGGTGGCTGGCTCAACACCTCTGTGAAAGATTTACGTTTGGGTGGCTATTGAATTCGGGGTCTGCTTCAGAAGGGGATTCTATTGTTTCGGGTCGGTGCAGGGGTCCCCTAATTGTCTGAAGTTTCCGTAGATGGTACTTGGGTCTGAACGATGCTCGAAAGGATATTAAGAGACCCAGTTATCCCAAACCCTATAAACCCTTAAACCTCTAACCCTAAACCCATTCATCGTCGAGGACCCACGAGAGCCTGGCAACCACCCCGGGGTTTGCGAGATCTGCGTGGCAGCTTGGCAATAGTAGACATTTCGTACAGAATGCTTGGTGCGTTGGAGCCGTTGCCGTGATACCTTCAACCCGAGACTCTAGACCCCTAAACCCTTGAGTACGCAAGTGTGCGTGTCGAAGCCCCTAAACAGCAGCAGAAAAGGCTGTCCAACCCTCAACCTGGCAATGAACCGAGGAGTGCATCTTTCGCGCTTTGGGCTGGGATGTAGACTGGACTGCCCCCGCGTCTGCCAACTATGGCCTCAATGCCGCTGGACTCAAGTCAAGAGGCTAAGAGAAGAAGATGCTTCGACAGTTGCATTTCTAACGCGGCGAAAGGGAAGCACGATTATTCCGGTTTCGAGTCAGAACGTAGCTGCAGGTGTTCTCGTCATACTTGCTGTTGCCGCGTCATCCTCATTGTCGTCTTTTGTTGGGCTCAACCACCTCGACTACTCCACGCCCCAAACCCCTTCGCCCTAAACCCCTGCACCACCAATTCTGTTCCGAGGCTGGTGCCATAAAGAAGAAGATGGAGGAGGTCATGATGGCTTGCTGTTTAGCGATTGTTTACTAGGATTAGAGATTCGGGTTGTTGGCGTAGGACATGTAAATGCGCGTACATCAAAGTGAAATCAAAGACAACACTTAGATTCATAGATACCCAGGTATCCACATGCATAATGGGAGGTTGCAAGATGCAGGCAGTACTGTTCCTTCTGCCTACTCTGGAAAGAACAGTCTGTTCTTTTGACATTAGGCCGGATGGATGGCGATTGGCCCACTTTCCCACTTCGAAATGCACTCTGACATCTTGGAATCGACAGCATCTGCGCAAGACTGGGGTTTACGTTGCATCATTTACTGCCAGACGTGGCTGCTTCTCTGTTGCCTTATATAAGCCCTAAACCCAGGGTTTTCGATTTGGGTACCTTCATCACGCGAGAAGGGACTGGCAAAATCCCTAGCGTGATTTCCTGCAATGGGGACGGTTTCCTTACATAGCAACCTCATGGATCAAACTATGTAGCTGACTCTAGCTGGTCCATCTATGTTTCTAGCCATCCACCTATAAATCCAGGCTTACATCCAAACTGGATCGAATCGAATCAAAATTTGTCTCTGCTTATGTCCGATCTGATATGTGACGTTATATTATCTCTTGACGTATATCATTTCGTACTGTGTCCCTATCTTGTACCACTTGTTTATCTTGTATTATCTGACCGTATCTTCTCTAATCTTACCTTATCTTACCTTATCGCATCTTACTTCACCTTGTGTTTGTCTATCTTATCTTACAATATCTGATCTTCTAGATAAGTATCGTTTGGCTACCTGCTCTTATAGTTTCTTACCTTACCTTATCCTGTCCTATGTTATCTGATCTCATCTCACCTCATCTTATCTTAGCTGTTCTTTTCTTTACTTTACGTCTCGAAACTTAGGCCATATCTTGTATGATGGCTCTTGCGTTTCTTATCTCACGCCCTATATCTCATGTTGTATACCTTATATCTGTGTGGTGAGGTCTCAGCTTAGCTTCTCCTACGTCTTACCTATCAAGCTATCGACCTATCTGTTGCCGGCCTGCCCACCTCGCTAGCTAGCTAGGTAGCTAGCTAGCTATCTATCTATGTGTTAGTTTATCTATTCGTCTGCAACTCGCTCCGACCATTCGTCAATCAAGCCGCCAATCAATCGATCTATCTATCTTCTTATTTCTCTAATTTCGCATCGAGCCACCTATCTATCTACCGATCCAGTCTTTGCGTATGTGAGCTGTAGAGCAAAGATCACACAATGTACCCATAATGTGTTCATGTAATGTAGGTATGTGTGCATGTATGTCAGTAAGTCTCAGTAGGTGTAAGCAGAGATGTAAATATATATGTACGTACGCATGTGTGTATGCATGTATGTATGGTCGTGTGTATGCATGCATGTCGGCATCTATCTTACATAGATATGGAGCATGTTTGCCCTGAGTTTGTTCTGCTTCGCTAGCTTCGTACAGGTGGCCGCGTTGCTGGAGCCTGCGCAGGGAGGTGCTGCCCATGAAGCTCGGATCTTGTTTAGTAGCTTATTCAGGGCTTCCAGAAGGGCTGTTTACGGGGTTGTATAGAGCTGTAGGGCGAAGGGCTGAGTGACTTGGTTGAAGTTACTGCAAGGCAGAGGTACATATATACATATTATGCATGTATACACGCTAATTCATGTTGAATCCAAAAATGTTATGGTCAAATTGTTTGTTGTGAAGAAGGATGCCCCCGTCACATAGCTCAGATGAAAGCAACCAGGAACTGACGGACTCGTTGCTCGAAATCCATGCGCCTCCCTTGGATGCAGGACGCGCTGCCACAGAAGGGTTTAGGGCTCAAGGCTTATAGGGTTTAGGGCTTAGGGTTCCATAAGGTTTGGGGCTTTAGGGTTTCATCACGGAGCCCCAGCTGCAACAAAGAGTTTAGCTACTGCTCTCGGTACTTCGGAAGCGAACGAGCTGTATAGACTATCCAGAGCACGACAAATCCTTGTTAGCGTACTACACCTGCTTTCGTGTGCGAGGGAGAGAGGGAGGGAGAGAGAGAGAGAGAGAGCGAGAGAGAGAGAGAGAGAGACTTCGCACCTGTAAATTCCGGATGCCTGTCTCTGAGAACTACAGACACTGCCTGAGGTTATGGGGCGTCCCGGGGCATGATGGTATCGTAGGCTTCTACTGTAATGTTTAGAATTTATGGTTATTGCGGCAGGAGGGGGTTGCACAGTTTTCTGGAACACGTCGCACTCCGATTCATGATCGGAAGCCATCCCACACCCAGGAGTAGTTATGCTCAAATTGTCGAATAGGTGTCAAATAAGCTGTTTTGCACGGCCGGACTAGGACGGGTATAGACGAGAGCAGACTAGATCCGAGCCTTCCACATTAAAACCCAAATCCTGTTTGCAGCTGCCTGGCGGGAAGAACGTCGTGCTCGATGCTGTGTGGCTCCTCGGGCCGCATTGCATTGCCTCGCCCGCCGGCGAAGTGATTGGGGAGTCCAGCGAACTAAATCTGAGGCGGTGACCTCCTAAGCCAGGTGCCGGCAAGCAAACATGTTAGTTGATGTTCAAGCGCCGTTTTGCTTCCGTGTCTTTGGTTTCGGGTTTAGTTTGGGGGGTTTAAGCGCCCAGGATACGGCAAAACTCTTCTGCGCCTTCTCAAAGGATGAGTACCTCAAGCCAATGAGAAACTCGGCTGGATTTCTCATCTACTAAGCATTTGCTGTTGAAGTTTGATGGAAAGATTCGATTACGTGCCAACGGCATTTTATTTCGCTTGCGGATGGTGGGTTGCTGTGACGGGATATTCTCAGGCTCAGATTGACCATTGGTTGCTCCGAACGCTGTTGCCTGAGGCGACTGTCGTCGATAATATGGGTGGAACAGTCTTCGGAAGACGCAAGCCATTCACGAGAGGTATTCAAGATCACATGCACATGCACTAGCTCGGCTGCAGAAGCTGCCAACCAAATTTATCAGGATGCAGAACATCCTACAAACAGGAGCGTCTGTGTTGGGCATACTCCTGTGTTAACTTTTCTGGCAGTATTGGCAAAAGTCTGTCTCAGCTCACCACGAGCCATTCGATCAATGCTGCCACGACTGCTCATATTACTAGCTACCAGTAGGCCCAATGCTGATCATAGGTGTGCTCCTTAAACTGAACTACAAGCCGAAAGGACCACTGCAGCTGTGCTTCACCACATCGAGCCATACAGACATGTGAGATTGCTGCCTTCAATTCTGGCAGTCTGTATATTGCACTAAGATCATTGCTAACATAAGCTGTATTATGTGATAGTGCTCCTATGCAGTCAATGAAAGATGACTTTCTTTTCATTACGACAACACGAATGCCAGATGCCGACGGCAAGCCACAGCTGGCAACTCTATTGACTGCGTTGACGGCCTGGCACTGCTTGCACCTGAAACTATCACATCGCGTTGAGATCAGACATGCTTGCGGTTGTTCTTGGATGCAGAGCATCAACATCGCCATCAGCACCATGGTCCTCGTGGTCATCACTCTCTTCGCTGCAGGTACAATGAGCAGAACTACAACCAACCACGCAAACTTGGAGAATGCTACTGAACACTAGTGTTGGCCAACCCGGTAAGTAATGATATAAGGAGGCCTGAACCATGAAGACGCATTACCTCCGACAACCTGAACTTGGCAGCATAGTGACAAACCATGGAGGATCTCCATCGAACTTGAACCTTCGTCCAGAAGAGTCCGGGCGTCAGCGTGGGGAGGCTACAACTCCACGTTCCTAATCGCCTGATATAGTGAGTCCTCTCTGCTGATGCCGCGAGTGGCCTGAAGTCAGACTTGTCGCCTGGAATCCTTGCCTGCCTCGTGCTAGCGCACGAGTCGAAATCCCAAACCTGACTCCCGAAACCCTAATTTTCGGCAGGCAGCCAAACCCCAGCCCCTGAAGCCTTAACCTCATCCGGAAGTGCTCAATCAAGATACCGATTCAGTCAACCCTGAAGCTCCCTACTTGAGGCTTTCCTTTGGCTTTGGAGTTGGCGATGTTTGCAGTACTTGCCGTGGTCCGTACTGCCCCTGTGCCACTCGTTTGCCAAGGGGTTTGGGGGGACCAGCTAGGTCTCTGTCTACAGCTCAGGATGTCTCGATATATAGGGGTCTGAATACCTCGTTATAGTTCGTATATGTATATATACATGTACATGTGTATATATATATATATGCATATATATATATATATGTGGAGTGTAGCCTATGCTTTTGGGTTGGAGCAGCATGCCTCCCCCGGTTCAGGACTTGAAAAAAGAGGCGACACAGATGTACCTTTGGATGTTTTCGAAATACCGTAGTGAACTTGTTAAGGTTTAGAATAAAGCCCTAAACGCCAATAAACCTTGTCAAAAAACTGAACACGAAAGTGCTAGCTGAGGAACATGGACATCCAGCCGAGCCGCGAGAAGACGCTTCAGCGGACGGACACTTGCTTTGAGCCATCCCCTGGTCTGAACGACAACCTTAAGCCTATAGTATCGATATGATGTGCAGATACACACACAGACATATATATATATATATATAGACATACATGTGTACACCTATGTTCGAACATATACATATACATGTATATGAAATTTGTACAAAGTTGTACACAGTATAGATATGTACAATGTGTATATATATATATGAATATATACATGCATGTAAATATACACGCACACGTAAACATATACATACATGGCGGAGGAACAGACACGTGCTAGGTGCGAACACATATGAAGGTGCATGACAGTACATCATGTACGATTGAAAGCTGCAGTGCATATATGATCGCGAAAAACGGGTTGCCTGCACCTGTGTAAATATGTTGGCATGCAGTTTTCCATGCTCCTGCATACCATAGGTTATTCATATGTATTAGTACCTGTATACGTATACTCGTACTATGCAAACAAGCGGAACGACATGTAAACTGCAAGCCAAATCTATGCCTTAGCTTTCCTTTTGTAGCTAAGTGCATAAAGTACCCCCCCCCTCCCCAAAGCCCTATTCTAATCCAGTTGTGATTTCTGAGGCCCCTGTATTGGATGTAGCAATCTTGAGGATGCTATCCTTTGCTCGTTCAAAAGTGCTCTCGCACAACCTAGCGTATAGGGCTTAAGGGAACGACATCCTGCTTGATTCGTACTAGATTTCGTGCGGAATTCATTCCTACTGAGGCCTTCAGTCGTAGCATGATAACGCATGTATTTTTAAAAGCAAATTCGCGAACTGCTGCCTACTTCTGCCAGAAGGTTGAGTTTCAATTTGACGCAAAGCACCGCCGGTACTCTTCAAGAGGTCCGCATATTTCTATCTCCAACACCTACACCCCAGACCAGAGTCCCACCCATGCGGCCAAAGGATTTCCTGTTTTTGCGGAGCGGCCTCGAGTTAGCAGAGCAGGAAGTGCGGGGCGACATCGCGAAGACCAGAAAGGAGGCATTTAGTCCTAAACTTCCTAAACCCCAGACCCAAACCGAAGTCTGTGTGTGTGTGTAACATTCCGTGTTTGCATGTAGGGACCTTGACCCAAACATCTACCAAGATCATAAGTTGCAAGTCCGTTTTGCTATTGAGTTCTGGCGCAGCATCGGCAGCAAGTACATTTCCTTAATTGGCAATATCGTTTCCTCAGGACCCAAACTAGATGTAGTTCCCAAGCAGCAAAGACGCGAGGCCCCCTGGCATACTGCACAAAAGCCGTGATGCCCTCAAGTCGCACCTCAAAATGCTAAACCGTGGACCAAACTCAAACGCAGGTTCCACCCCAACCCAAGCACAAAGAAACCCCACCTGGCAAGTCCGACAGTGAGCTCCGAAACACAAGCCCTGCCCAGACCCCCAAAAGGATC